GTTACACATGGTTTTAAGTTATTCACTGTGACCAAGGTAGAGATGTTAGGTGAATCAGAATGGTCTCAGTCAGTACGAGATCGGAACGGAAGATCTGACTAGCTTCAGAAACTCTGCAATCACGGTTTGCGTTAGTTGTGTATCTCAGTCATCCGTGATTGGAGTTGTACTATTACACCTTGTACTTGCACACCAGTGAGAGAGGTATTTCTTTGAAATCTCGACTGGTTGTCGCTTATGTGAAAAGGTTTCAGGTAAGGATTTGTAGTTCATTTCGCCGGAAAACTCGTTTCTGGGGTGAGAACACCGTAGTCATGACATGCAAGTGTCCTTACTTGAACCTGATTTATATCCTGGAACTTGCTTTGCTACTGTTAAATGCCATCCCTGTTACATGTAAAATTTGATGCTTTCTAAATATAATCATGGTTGCGTTTTAGTACGGAGGCGGCTATGAATTCATGGATCGTGGTGGACGAGGACGTGGATTCCGTGGTCGTGGCAGACCGCGTGGCCGTGGCTTCCGAGGATCTGGTGGATTTGAACCTCGAGGACGTGGTGGTCCACGTGGAGGGAGAGACAGCTACCATGCCGAAAATGGTAAGTGATGAATTCCATTTGTTTGTATGTCCGTCAGTGTACTAAATGCAGACCCAGTGTTGTGTGAATGTTAGTTTCACGTGTGACTGATAGTGAATCAGTCTGAAGTAGAATTTTGTTGTATGACCTGATGAGAAGAACCTATCGTCCTCATCCTATGGACGACTGTCTTGTGGAGGGCTACGCTAACCAGTGTTTACAGTTTTCTCTTTCATATCCTAATCTTTGCTGTCTCACGCTGTGCTCATTCTCAAAAATTCACGTGTTTTATTTCTTGTTTGCAGGTTCACCAGATATGCGTGACGCGTAGCCAGTCGTCCTGATTACTAAATATCGAGCATCGTCATTTTAGAAAATTTGTGTACTCTGTCAGCATTCATATGTGCATGTCTAAGTTTCAACCCAATTGTTTAAACATCCAACTTGCAGCACGCTGGATTATCACTTGTCTTTACGATATTTTGGATGCACACCAACTTTTCATCTTCCTCAGTTTTGGCGTTTCATTGATCAACCTCGTATGTTTCCAACTTTGCAGTTCAGAATTCCTATGGATATTGGGATTGTTTCACTCGATCTTACAGCCTTAGCTTTCTATGCTTTCCGATGCATTTCTTATCTATCAGGACCTTCCATCTGAACTTGATTACTTTTCTACTGTTTCATATTTATTCACCGATTGTTTGAGGACTCAGACCACTTTCCTGGGTCGGAGATCTAGCTGGTTGTATACTGGTGGTTACCTTTCTGTGAGATATGTTGCTTTTCTGTCATCTACTTGTGTGGATAATTAGTGCTGTATGGTTTGAACTTTTTTCTTAATTGAATATGCATTTTGATACTTGATAAAATTTCTTTAGAGTAACATCCTGAGCGTTCTTCATGTCTAATCTTCAGAGAGTAAAAGATAGACTCTCGTAGTGGAGTTCAGTCGAACAATTGCACACACTAGGACGGCGACACTGTTCAAGGTGAAATAGCACCCAGCTCTTAAAAGAGTGGCAACCCTTTTTTTGAGTTTCAGGCTGCTTGCGTTTGAAGGCAATTGCACCGTGCGTGACTCCATGTCGTCATGGCTAGGTTGGTCGACGACGATAGGGTGGATTCAAGCTATTCCGTTCATATGGAATCTGACTAAGTCAGTGGAGACATTCCCAGGCCACGTTCCGCTTATTTGGGTCCCTACTGGTTGGCATAATTAGGTGGCATTGGTCGAAGCATCCTTCTGCACAAAACACGCAGTCACTTCACTCGAGTAACAGGCAAACGAAATTGTATAGGCTAACAGTTGAAGTAATGTGGAGGCATAACAATCTTGAGTGGTTAATCTTTTTGGGGGATTATTTTACTTTTTATCTGTTTACAGTACAGGGATTTCTACGTCTACTGTTTGCTCATCGAATTGTCAGGTCTTCTGTAGGATCATTTGCTGAACCCTGTTGATTCATGTAAATATAAGATAAGAAAGAATTGGTCAAGCAGAATACATTCTGACTTTCTAACACACCGTTGTACGAAAAGAGTTTTGAGTTGATTAGGACTGTCTTCTATTGACAAGGGACGCTTTGATCCAAGTAAGTGGGCTGCTCGTGTGTCTATTTCAGGCAGTGGAGTGAACGAATATTGAAAGGTATCAATGTCAAACGTACAAGACAATATACCGCTTAAAGAGCTGTTGAAATTGTAGTATAGTTTGATGAAGATCTGCTGAATGCGGTGTTCTTAATGCTGTACTATTTGCATAGTCTTGAAAGTGTGTTTGAAAACTGAATTTGGTATCTCGGTCAGCTATGCATCTCCTAACATCCATTGTATTTGTAGACTGATGAGTGGAAGTGTCACTTTTCACACCATTCCTGAAACCTTTTCGTGTTTCACTCACATGAAGAGACTTTAATTCATGCGACCATAGCGATCTAACATCACTTGGTCATAAGAATCTTGTCAAATTCAGTACCAGTCTGGGCAAAACTCTACACTTGGCTGTTTCATGAGCGATCGTGAAGTGTTAGACGTTACTGTCTAATATCACCTGCTATATCAAGCTCTGCTTGAACATTTACTGTTCTGCTGAATCAGTTTTTGAGATTTGGCAAGATCTCTTCTCTAAAACTAAAAAACCTTAGAAGAGAATTTGTATGAATCACGTGATGATATAGATGTTCGAAGTAAGAACTATGATGGAGTTTGAAATACGAAGACCATTAGGAATATTTAGTGGAAAATTCTTATCATGTAGAAATGCTTTCAACGTCAGGAAACTATTAAATTATCTTACAATCAAATTCCTATTGCTTATTCTGACGTAAAAGCCTTGAAACGATATTTTTGGAGGCAGCAAGCAAATATGGTGTCACCTGATGTTCCGGGACACGTTAGTGATTATTTTCCGGGTTTAATGAAAAGTATGTATTGTCATGTCTTAAATCTATCACACGGTCTAGTCCCCAACGGTGTATCAAGCACTCTTCTTCAAAAGGGTGCAGGTATGTTGTGTCACATTCTCTTACAGATCTTTAATGCATCATTTCACAAAGTTGCAGTACCTGCTACTTAGGAAGAAATAAAGGTCGTGCCTGTACCAAGAACCATTCTCGGATCACGTGTAAAGTCTAGGTGACTCGTCATCACGTCTCCACTTCTGGAAACTGGAAAAATTCCTTTAGCTCGTTCTCTAACATTCCTTAAAATCTTTCAGTGATGCAAAGCAGTTTGCGTATCAATACAGTAAAGGCACTTTAGATGCTCCATCACAATATTGTTTTGATTCTAGATAAGGGTGAAATGTTTGTTCGGGCCTCCTCTTTAGACTACACCGCTGCTTTTGACTCTTTTCCTAGGGGACTTTTACTGGGCAAGCTGATTTCAGTACTCAGAGTCCTGGGTAACAAGGTATCTGTCTTTTTTTCAGGGTAGGAAACTACATACTGCTTTAAGTGAAAAGTGGTCCACTCCTTTGCTTACGGAAGTTGGTGTATGTCAGGGTGATGTACTTTCTCAATTTATTTAAGCATGACCTACCGTGTTCTTTCATAGCTAATACCAGTAAATATGTTTATGATCTGACAAACTCGGTCCCAGCGGATTCTGCACTGGATTGTTCTGATATGAACAGTTCCTTATCTGAGGTTAACCAATGTTCTCACTCAAATGGTCTTCCACTAAATCCATCTAGATGTCATATTGTTGATTTTAGATTCAGATGTGAACAAGATTTTCATAGACTGATTCAATCTCATGATTCTTGTGATATCGACGGCACTGAGATAGGGAGTAGTAGATCGAATGTCGGCCATCTTAGCATGAGTTTCTCTTCGAACCCCTGTTGGTCGTCTTATATCTTGTTGAATTCTAAGTAAGTTTTTCGCTTGACTTATTACGTAAAGAAGTTGAGACCTCCTGGCATAACTCGACCTCTTCTCTTACAGTTTATTAATCCATGTATTCTGTCCATTCTTCTTTATTGTCCCGCCTTATTCTTACTTGGGTTTCTCAGAAAAGGTCGAGTCAAGTTATGTAGAACTTTGGTTGCTGTAAGTAGGGTTAGTGATGTGCTTTAGACTCAACTTACTGGCATTGTTGTCGATAGGCTTTTTCGCTCTTTGGAGCAGTTATTTAAAGTCATCTGGTCTGATATCGAACATACGGAATTATTCGCAAATCTCTCCTTGTGTTTCTTGGAGTGAATGCAGAAGGAATTTCATAAGGATTTATGCTCGAATTGCAAAATATAAAAAATCAACCATACACTATTTAGCATGGGTATTGTGTAGAGATAAATGTCGAAAAAACTTATAAAATCAGTAACTGAACAGGAATAATCATTACACATATTATTTATTTATTATTCAGCATATTCTACTAACTCAGTTTTTGTTGTACTTCCAAATCTAATTGCAATTCATGTATACTTTAACTTGATTCTGAATTGAGAAGTTGTGAAGACTACATTGTCCCTCGAAAGCTATTAGCAGAAATTCTAGTACATCTTGTGATACAAAGTGACACGTCCCAGTCAGGGGATATGTAGACAGTATGTATATAAATAAATAATGGTATGTTAATATTACTAGCTATTTGCATAACTGTCCAACTAAATAGAGTATAAATGGTCACCCAAGAGCAAGAGCTTTATGCCTTCCAACGTATAAATGTAAGCTGTTTTTATTGTTGGCATCTAACGGCGAGACGTATTCAAATATCTTGAGGCGATTTGGGTCTAGTTACTAATAAGGTTTTCAGGTTATTATTAGTGTGCGAAAGGGTTACTGACACATCTGTCTGATTTTAAATATCCGTTAAGATCTATCAATTGAATATACCGGATATGATATCTAGCCTGCGATACACCTTTATTCTAAACGGTAACTAGGTATGAGACACTAAAAATCGATCAAGATGAAGTTTTAGGCCCTGAGCTTATTAGCAATTATCTCACCTACAAGAAATACAGATGCATTACACAGCTGATACTCAATACACTAAGTCAATGTGGTATCATTTATTTCGGATATATTATTTTAGCAAAATAGTCATATTATTAATAAGGAAAAAAAATGATTACTAGTGGTATCAAATCAATAAATATACAACATTGATAAATTCATACAACCAGAACATTGCCAACACATTTACGACAAGCGAATAATTGTACATCATTCACAGCATCTCGTTTAGTAGACTGAAATGTGTTAAGGGCTTTTTGAAGTAAATCATCAGTGTCAGTCAATTCTAAAGGAGGTATTGTAGATAAAACAGCTGTTGAAGTATCAGATACATTTGACGGCATAAAAGGCATTCTGTTGTACTTCTTTGTTCCACTATCATTTCGTGTTAAAACCTGTGAAGGAAAATTAAAAGGTATGCAAAATAAGTTTACTTCAGAATAAGATAAAGTATTCTCTAAGGCTCTGAAGTCTTGAAGACTTCAGAGTGTGTTTTCACTGGGCATTATTACCGGTAATGCCATAACCCCCTTAAGAAAAACTACATTAGAAACAGAATAGCCCATAAGACTAACAGCCATAATACATGATAAACGTTCTGAAAGTTATAGCAATCTGTTAAAATATACACTAAAGCCTATTCACATCACTGTGTCTAAAATCGTTTACAGTTAATAACTAGTGTTCCTTACATATCATTTTAATGTCTGAAGTCTTTGGGACTTAAGAATTCTATTTTTTCATTCAAAACAAAGTTTCTTTTAGAGGTAATTAAGGAGATTTGTAAGTCGGGATGCTGCTATAGATTTCTGGAGTTCGCCGTATCTGTGTACCATTCACTACTTTCTCAGTAACATGACATCTTTATCTCAAATTCCCCATTACTATGAAGCACCATCTTAGTATGTGTTCTTATATTCCAAAGAGACTCTACTTCATTACCACTAGTCAAGAAATTCTTGAAGTATGATGTCATAGTCAAAGAAGCTAGGCCATGTACGCCGTTTTTCGATGAATATATACAGAATAAGCGATACGCAAGATTATATTAGGAGCTTTTTATACCACTATACATCCGATCACAATAATGTGCTTTCAATTAATTAGACTTTAAAAAATGTATCCAGCTGTGAAGATGTCTCAAAGCAGAAGTTTGCTCATAAGTGCAGCGGTTCAGCCTGGTACATTACAGACAGCATATAAGAGTAGAGTGAAAAAAAACAAAGCAACTGTAATGTATGGAAGAAGGAATAAGTTTATGGAGAATAATTAGGATTAAGTAGTTCTGGGGGATTATAAAGAATCAACTCATCGCCTCCACTGAGAACGATTTTGAGTCCTATCACCAAAAGTCTTAACCCTTTGCTTCTCAGCGTCTCGAAGACTTCAACCAGATAGTCTACAACACTCTATATCGTTCAGACTGACAGCTAAAGGCTTCATAGACTGATTCTAGGTTTTGGTTTGACCACCACTAGCTCTTTTCCAATATCATCGATCCTAAATCATCTAAGATTGCCCAGGCATGGAAGGCAATGGCTAGTCATGCGTAACACATATCCTGGCCATCTTAATCGATGTAGCTTCACAACCTTATCGACTGATTTTCCCTCCTAACCTAACACTACGCCTAGCCCCAGTATTAATCATCACTCTAATATACCATCTAACACAGGAGACAGAACGCAGGTACCTTTGGTAAAACACAGCTAGCCTTTTCATGCCTCCCACTTTCAATGGTCATGTCTCACAGACATTAAAGAGGATGGATCGAACTGGCTTTGTGCAGTACACTCGTCCTTTGATCGATGGCCTGTCGTATATCACGCATATGCCAAAGAGGGTGTCAGGTGGCAAATGCTACACGAGCCTTTTGTATCCATGTGGAGATTTCGTTAGCAGTAAACCCGTTGAAGCTGATGTGACTTTCCAAAGAATAAGTATAGTGATGACCAACACGCTTTATCACTTCTCTCCCTAATCTTTAAGCTAGGAATCAAAGTGATCTAGTCCTGTAGCATCGTCTTACATTTGATAGGAGCGAATCGCATGCCAAATATTCGAAGATTTCCGCCCAAGGTATTTAGAAAATTCAACATCCTATCAGAGTCACTACCTACCTAGGAGTACTATATCATCCGCATATTTTAAGTCAATAAGATTTAGTATACGGAAGAAAGAGAATTAATTAATATAGTCACTGAGACTGAGTAAAACAAGATTTTCTCTTCAGGCGTAACGTTTCCTAACATCTACTTTATATCAATCAATCCCGACCGAAAGCTGCTACCTTGACGTGGTGGTCGGGCTTGAACACTGCAATGACCCAACAAACTATACTGGCTGGAACTTATGTTCCTGCAGGTCCTACCATGCCAGAAAGGTTGTTTGGATAGCAGTTAGACTAAAAGCAGTTACCCAATCCAATCCTATGATTTCAAATAAATCACAAAATATCATGCCGGATCGGTCGGGGCCCGGATTAACAACGACCGCGCTTTCTGCTGCCGTGTCACAGGGCAGAAGTGATAAATTAGCTACTGAGACACACCAAATAAAAAAGAACAAACAAAAACAGGCCGTGTGTGACCGGCCTCAAGCAGTTGTCCCCTGGGCTCTGCGGTCACGCAACCAACTTCCACGGTGTGGGCAGCCGGGAAGTAACAATCGCCCTCACAATCCGAAGTGCACGCGAAACCCCTCTAATCCTCGCTCATCTTTGTCTTCATCTTCATCTCTATTATCTTGCCTTCCTTCTACCAATGCAACTCCTCTACTTGTTGGCTCTTCACTTCCCCTTCACTCTGTGTGCACTGATAACGAGGGAAGCCAAAAAGCCACCACCGATTGTCTCCTAAAACCACGCCACCAATTTTATATAGGAGCATTTAATGTTAGGACACTTTACCAAATAGGACAACAAGCATCACTAGCCAAGACTCTGGCATCCCGAGCCATTGATGTATGTTGTGTTTCAGAAACACGCATACAGGACCCAAGTGTGGTTATTCACCTAACCCCACCTGGCCAACAGGATGAATCTGCAAAATTCACCTTGAGGGTGTCAGGAGATGCGACGGCTAGCTCACGAGGATTAGCTGGTGTTGGGATAGCTTTAAGTACTAGAGCAGAAAAGACATTACTTGACTGGATCCCGGTAGATAGCCGAATGTGCGCTGTCCGCCTGAACGGATCAGTGAAAAGGAGAAAGGACTGCACTACTCGCCGATGCCTTTTCGTAATCTCCGCCTACGCCCCCACTGACTGCAGTTCGGATGAAACGAAGGATGAGTTCTACCAAAAGCTGTCTAGTTTGCTGCGAAAGGCTAGACGCTCAGATATAGTCGTTTTAGCTGGTGACTTTAATGCTCAAGTAGGGAAATTGTGTCAATCTGAGAAGAATGTTGGTGGCACATACGGAATTCCGTGCCAGCGAACCGACAACGGCGACCGTCTCCTACAGTTCTGTTCAGATAATCATTTGTATCTTGTAAGCACTAACTTCAAACACAAGGAGAGACACTGTTTGACCTGGCGACCCCCATCATCAAATCAACGCTGGACACAAATAGACCACATAGCAATAAGCTATCGTTGGCGTGGGTCGGTAGGAGATTGTCGCTCCTTCTGGAACACGTGTGTAGATACCGATCACGCACTGGTCCGCGCTCGTGTGTGCTTACGACTGAACGGACGTAGGAAACAGCGAGCGGTAAACCCATCACGTCCCCAGCTCGACCAGAGAACTAAGTCCCTATTTGAGGAAGAACTAGCTAAACACATATCTGAGTTTGACAGCTGCGCTCACCCTGAAGAAGCCTGGAAAAATATTCAGTCAGCCATAGATACAGCTGTAAAAGCTGTGAATAAGGTAATTCCAAAGGTGAGTAAAAACCACTGGATTTCGACTGCCTCATCCGAACTGATAGATGCTAGAAGACTTATCCCGGCGAGCTCCGAATTCAATGAGGAGCGAAAGCTGCACAAAAAGAAACTTACGAAAAGTCTCCGCAAGGACCGTGAACAGTGGTGGTTGACAAAGGCGAAAGAGATGGAAAAAGCATCGGCGATAGGCAACACCAGACAACTATTCAGGCTTATCAGGGAAACAGGTGGTAAAAGGCAAATGATAAGCGAAACAATCTCCGAGAAAAACGGCACCATAATTAGCTCCCAGGATAGACGTCTGGAGCGCTGGAAAGAACACTATGAGGAGCAGTTTAATTGGCCCACAGCCACACTTAACCTACCGGACATCCAACACCTCCCTGAATGGGAGATAGACACAGGTCCACCGTCCTTAACCGAGGTTACTAAAGCTGTCACCAATCTGAAGCTAGGCAAAGCAGCGGGACCTGATTTATTGACTCCAGAGATATTTAAGTACGGAGGCGTCAGTTTACTGTCTGCGTTAACGGAGGTTCTAGGCAGCGTCTGGGAATCAGAGGAAGTCCCATCGGGTTGGTGTAAGTCACTGATCATCCCGATATACAAGAAGGGGGACAAGTCGTCTTGTGATAATCACAGAGGGATTAGCTTGACTAATATAGTATCTAAAATCCTAGGCTCAATAATACTGCGTAGACTAAGTGGTGCTCGGGAGACACAAACACGAGAAAACCAGGCAGGTTTTAGGCCAGGTAGAGGGTGTATTGATCACATCTTCACCCTTCGACAGATTCTAGAACATAGGCATTCCTACCGGCGTCCGGCAATCATTATATTTCTTGACCTAAAGGCGGCTTTCGATTCTGTCGACCGGGAGGTTCTCTGGCGATGCTTGGCTGTAAAGGGAATGCCAAGAAAATACATTGCACTGATTAAGGCACTCTACTCGTACTCATGCAGCCAGGTGAGGGCTTATGGCGAGTTGTCATCTGAAGTGGTGACGACTAGTGGCGTCCGTCAAGGATGCCCATTATCCCCATTCCTATTCAACTTCATCATAGACGTACTAATGGACTTAACCCTAACTCACTTCAGCGACTCAGGGATTGACTTGCTACCAGGGAAGAATCTCGTTGACTTAGAATATGCGGACGATATAGTCCTTCTAGGCGAGGACTCTGACAAAATGCAGAGTCTACTGAACACCCTGAGCAACAATCTCCGCATGTTTGGCATGCGATTCGCCCCTATAAAATGTAAGATGATGCTGCAGGATTGGACTTCATCGACCCCTAGAGTAGAAATAGGATGTGAAGTGGTAGAACACGTTGACCGCTTCACTTACTTGGGAAGTACCATCAGCCCCAACGGGTTGATCTCCGACGAAATTTCAGCACGAATACAGAGGGCTAGGTTCGCATTCGCCAGTTTTCGCCGTCTCTGGCGTAGACGCGATATCCGACTATCGACCAAAGGGCGTGTGTACTGCTCAACAGTCCGCTCCGTCCTCCTTTATGGGTGTGAGACCTGGCCATTGAGAGCAGAAGACATGAAAAGATTAGCTGTCTTCGATCATAGGTGTCTGCGTTCTATCTCCCGCGTGAAGTGGTATAATAAGGTGAGCAATATTGAGGTTAGGCGTCGAGTGCTAGGTAAGGCGGGGAAATCAATCGACGAGACTGTGAAATTACTTCGACTGAGATGGTTAGGACATGTGCTACGTATGCCTAGTCATCGCCTTCCTCGACGGGCAATGTTAGCTGATATAGGGTCAGGCTGGAAAAGAGCTAGCGGCGGTCAAACCAAAACATGGCACCAATCAATGAAATCCACAACAGTTAATCTAAGCCACGTAGGAAGATGTAGACTTCCTGGTTGGGGCCCTCGGGATGGTAAAAACCAATGGTTGGAAACAATTGGTGACATGGCTCAAAATCGTTCTCAGTGGCGCAGATGCATCCACTCCTTGTGACTTATGATTTCCAATGAAACTGTTTTGTTCTCCGTTATTACTATTCCTTTGTCTCACACCTCTGTTTACTGTTTCCATTATGCATTTCTTCTACTTCCTTCTCTTGCTTTGCGTGCTACATAGATTGTGGCGACTTGAACTGCCGCACATATGTGCAAAGTTCTATGTCGAAAACCGACCGACTTTATATCAATAAAATAATAAATGTATTATATGAAATGTGGATACACAGCTTTAGACAAAGACAAGAAGAATAAACGACTGACTGAACTACTTACATATTGTGCTAACTCTTCACCGAGTGTATCTGAATTACAATAAATTGGTTTAACATTGATATTTGGTGATATTATTGATGCTAAATCAAAGCATAATGAAGTTAAATTCAGTGTATCACAAGTTTGATCAGTTGATTTATACAATTTCATATTATTTTTCTGACAGAAATGAGTTAATAATGGTATAGTTTGACTTAAATATCGACGAATTTGTGCACGTTCACCAAGAAGATGTGCTAAAGCTTGTCGAGCTAAATGTGCTTGATGAATCGATAAATTGGCTTGTTTTACAGCTTCACTTGCCACTAAACGACTTGCTAAACATTTGGTTTGCCAAACATCAGCAGCAATTTCAGCTGTATCGGCTAACTCTTCTAGCACTGCTTTTTGATGTGATAAACCTTCACTTTGTCCGTATAGATTAGCATTACTTTTTATTAAATCCATTAATTGTTGTGCTACATTCAAATTACCAGAAAGAGCAGATACTAATAGATGCTTTAAATCAGCATTAATCTAAACGGGAGAGACAAGAAAACAGAAGGATAAAATGCAAAAACATAGATGAGTTATACAATGCAAACATAGATGTTAGATTTTTTATGTATTTATTTCATGAGAGATTTTGCCATAATTTGATTACTAATTAAGGAAACATTGAATTTGTTAGCCATGTTACACTCATATACATACACCCGGCAAAGGAGTGACAAATCTATTCTAAGAATGGTTGATGATAATAATTAGCTGACCTAGCCTTCTATAGATATTGGTAATATTATTACTATTCCTTCAGGTTCCGAGTGGAACATCGGGTTTAAACACTACAGCTTCATTTAATGCTATTCCCTGCAGCTAGGAGGTTAACTGGCTCCAAAGTATTCTCTATACAACACCCTCTAACTCCCAATTCGTCGTTTTCCATTCAGATTCCACTCGAAGGTGATGGTGTGTGATTTTACTAAACGGTCTCATCAGCATGCGTTCAGTGCATTTCCATTTTCTTCTGAATATCTGTTGGGTGGTTTTTTTCTGGTTGGTTCACCGCCACAGTTTCTTGTGGCTTATCCTTCCCAACAGACCATCTGATCTTCACTGTCGAGTGAAGGTAACTGTTGTTGATGAAAGTGTCTGTAGCAGCCTGTTGGAGATACTTTTCATGACGTAGCAAGTCTTTGAAAACCCTCTACAGATAGGCCAAATTCTATGACATGGTTTTGAATTTCTCAGCAATGAACAATCTAACTCAACGATTTAAATGTTTACTGTTTAACAAATATTCACAAGGAAATAGATTGGATAAATACTGTGGAGGCGTTTAAGTGATATCACACACCAGGTAGGCTATCGAGTATAACTCGAATCGCAGCGTTTGAGGCTGACATGGAAGCGACCATGTATAGCGAAAATGAAAGCTTGTAGCCAGTCGTTGGGTCATTTGAAAGTGATGACAGCGAGTCAGTTGCAATGGAGATGTGCTGCTGAGGCTCTGTGTTTCACTCAGAGTAATAATATTGCACATCTAAATGTTTGTGCGTGCGTGGACTTGTAACTTACTTGTGCTTAGTTTATGACTTACAACTAATAGGAGTACATAGTTAAGCTATTTTCGCCTATAAAAATTTCAACAGTTAGAAGTGAATTACCAGTGTCACGCGCGGTGACCACAAATATTGTTTGAGGGTTAATCATACTACCCAGTTGGCTAGGTCGTCATACTTTAGGAATGGATTTCAAACTCAGAACCTGTTTGTTGTAAATTGTTTGCTAAAGCCAATAACCTACATCTCTACAAAATATCTTTTTTTGTGAACAACAGATTAGGTTATACATGTACATAAGACTACTGATTTCATTATAGTTTATAATATATTATAACATTTCATAACCAAGCAAGCAGATATGATTGATTAGTTGTAAGTGCTTTATTTTAAATCAGACACATAATTTGCACTCTACACAGTTCGAGTGTGTAGAGTGCAAATTGCTAGTCACTTTACAAATTGTGAATTTGATTTGTGGTATAACCAGGTGTTGAACTGATTCGATTCTCTCAGTAGAATCAAACCGGGTACATACTGCTGATGAACTCGGCTAAAAACGAGCGAAACAGACGTCCAGTGTGTAGATCACTTCGATATTCTGGTTATCAAGCACTACTGGTTGATATAAGTGGTATACAACAACTACTCATTTCAACCAATCAGTAGTATATATTTTAGTGTTGTTTTATTTAGTTGAGATTACTGCTCAAATGTTCAATATATATATTCAAGGAGATTAATTTCTTTCAGTCTCTGTGTAGGTGGTCTTCACTATGCAATGCAGAGGTTTATTTCTATTTTCAATAAGTATTCTACTATTTGTAGTAATATTCAAATGAAGTATTGAAAAAAGCAAAACAAAATTCACTAGAAAAACATGCAAACATCAACACACATAAAGCGTGAAGCATTTACCAAAGAGATACAAAAAAATGGTTAAAATCAATTTACAAGGAACTAACACGTTTTCAGTAGAAAAAAGAATTGTAACTATTCTTGTCAATATTTATCATTCTACCTTTTAAATCAATAAAATCATAAGTCAGCTCAAATATTATCCGTAAACAACTGGATTTCAAATATTCCTTCTATTTAGCTGACCACGAAAAGTGAGAATTATCTCTCTCTTTATATATATATTAGCAAATACAAACTTTTATCTTTAGAAATCTAGTTAAATCTTGAAAATAACATCTTTAGTTGTAGTATTGAAAAGAATTCAATCGAATTTCAGATAAACTTCAGACGAAACATCGATGTTGGCATTCCTATATCTTTTATGAAAGAGCTTCTATTGAAATGCACAATGGATGTTCACTTTTAATTTAATAAGGACCTATATAGACAAATTGACGGTGTGGCAATGGGACCATTTTTGCCGACATTTTCCTTTCGAAACTAGAAAATGGGCCTTTGGAGGATGCCATTAGTGAACTTGAATTTTATTGTCCGTACATGGATGATACATTTTTGATTATGAAAAATGAGGAGGAAGCGAAGAACATCCTGGATAAATTTAACGAGGCTTATCCTGCAATAAGTTTTACTATTGAGAAAGAAAAAGACTCTAGTATTTCATTTTTAGACGTCCTTACGACCACAAAAGAGGATGGCACAATAAGAAAAAGTGTACATAGAAAACCTACATCAACGGATCAGTCTACTCATTTTCTCAGCTTTGTGCCCTTAAAGTACAAACGCAATCTGATAAAGTGATTGGTTCACAGAGCAAGAGCAATCCGCTCGGATGAATGTCTTGATGAGGAACTTAATAATATTAAATGGTTGCTGAGTGAAAACAGTTATCCAGAAAAGTTTATTGATAAGAATATGAATCTAAAATGAAAGCAGCTGAAGGTACCAACAGTTCCTAAAAAGACCTTATTCTTACAAATGCAGTTCCTTAGGGACAACATCAGCGAGATACTAACACAACGCCTTAGGAATGCGGTAAAAAGAGCATTCCCTGCTGCTGAATTACGTTAAATCTTCAAAACCATTCCTCTTTTGCGTTCGGGAGTAAAAGACAAACTGCTTAGTTTCGCCTCTTCCATGTGTATCTACCAATTTAACTACTACTGTGGAGCCATTTACATAGGCCGTACAATTAGGCGTGTTTCTCGTCGAATTTCCGAACATCACCCTGTGTGGTTAAGCAAACGGCAGACAAAATTTATTCTCAGCGCTATTCTATCTCATCTTGTGGATACGAAACACAATATTGATGCCAATGAGGCTTTCAAAGTCATTAACCGCATACCAAAAAATCTCAATTTCGCCTTAAGAGTTTGACCATTAAATATTGCTGAGGCTGTTGTGATCCAAATTAACAAGCCTAATTTGTGCATCCAAAAGAAGTCAGTTCAGACATTATCCTTACCTCGGCCATCTGGGTTTGAATGATCCTCAATAATTGTGGAATTTTCCTAATTTTAGTTGATATTCTATTTGCTGCTACATCTTTATTATTATTATTATTACTTAAGCATCTTTAATGAACTGTAATTCCATTGTGATCTTATTCAACAAATCGATATTATTTAAAAAACACTGATATTGTTATTGTGCGTCGGTGGTATAGCGGTTAGGACGCTCACCGACCATGCACATGGTCCGAGGTTCGATCCCCGGCCGGCGCACTCCTTTACCTCGCTAAGCCAGAAATAATGCTGGTGAAGAGGAAAGGTCGGACTTGACGCTAGCAACCCCACTCCGTAAAATAAACACTGCTAAAGAAACTTCAAGCCACTAGCTTGAAGCCCTATGTTCCACTGGGGCACGTGAAGAAAAAAAATATTGTTATTGACTACTATTCTAGAATATCCTATATATATATATATATATATATATATATATATATATAAGTAAAGGCAGAAGATAAGGAAATTATCGAAAAGGATATTCTTTGCTCAATCATTTTTTGTTTTATAGATGTCTGAATGAATATTTTTGCTATATTAAACTTAGATTCTTCTTCTCCTTTAGAGTACATTTATACAAGGCCTCGTGCCGATTGCCTTCAACCATCTAATAACAACAATTCTGAGTGCACCATGAAGGCGAGTCATCTAGCATGGTGGTCACATTGAATACTTCAACGATAGAATTTACTTTGCACCAACACTAAGGACTAGACGCTTGAACATTAGTTACTAACCCTAGTGTCCAATCAAAGTATCCATTACAGTCCTACAGGAAGTCGAACGTAATCCCGAATAACTCAATGGTAATGTCTCTGACTGCAGTACTGGGTGTGACCTGGATTTGAATCTTGGAAGAGACACGAGTTCTTCCAAGACTGTAGACACGCCTTGATGACTGATGAGTGCCAACAAACACGAAACCTAGGTCCAAAAACCCCTGACGACTGACTACAAACATATAGCCGTTTACTTTCGAACCTTACACCCATCATTTTGAACGCCAAAGCACTACAAACTAGGCCACGAGAGCCACACCTTGCACCAGATGACGACTTCTGAATCCAATTGCTAATCATCATTCACAACAAAAATCACTTCACTTTAGTTCTTAGATATCGTTGAAGCCTACGTACTAGGAGCTGACATATAAACACACACTGAGTATTTCAGTTCAACATAATCAATAATCAATGCGGAATACAAAATTAACTTGGGAACAAATGGCAAAAGAAGCCTGATAACGGAAGATTTGCAAAAATGTAGCACATTAAAGTAAATAGCTGATTTTCAGCCAATGGGTGTGAGGCTCGAATCCTGTTCTCCACCTACTTCAACCTAGACAACTTGGTGAGTATGCTTAAACACCACAAAATAATAAATATGACTCATAGTCGATACATTAAAATACTGTTCTGGATAAGTGAGTTGTCACTAACACACGTACAAAGTTATTAGACTGTCATCCATGAATATATACCTTTCAAGAGATTATTATATTGACGAAATGAATTATTCTAAAGCAGTTTAATTTGTCATTTCATGACTAATA